TTTGAACATACACAGACATTGACTAGTGATTTGAGGCATGAAAACAGGCATTTGCTTGCTCCCTATGGTTTTGTTTGTAAAGACAGATTATTCCCCATACTGCAAGAACAGGAGCAGTTTGTCTGTTGTGTAAGTGGGGAGATTCTGATTTTAATTCTGATATCGACAATTGCGACCATAGGAAGTGGAACACAGACCAGGACAACCTGACTAGGGTGTCCTGCTACTACTGGGTACCCCATTCACAGTAACATCTAACCCTAAACCCAACCCATCCACAGCTGCCAAGAGAACACTCTAAGTTTCAAACAGTCAAAGAAGATTTTGAAAAACACTAAGGAGCAATTTTGAAAAAACTAATTTTTCAGGCAAGAAACCATACCAAACTTACTTTGAAAACGTTAAAGCACATCAACTGTCAGTCAACATCCATCAAAGTCACATTTCATATAATCTCTAAAACACAAATCTTTCATTATCTGAGCATAAAACCTGTTTAAAAAAACTGCAAAAAACTGTTTTATGCTCAGATGCTCAGAAACGGTTGGCAGGTGGTTAAGAGCGTTGTGCCAGTAATCAAGAGGTCGCTGGTTCGAATCCCCGAGCCGACTACGTGAAAAATCTGTCGATGTGCCCTTGAGCAAGGCACTTAACTCCAATTTCTCCTGTAAGTCGCTCTGGATAAGAGCGTCTGCTAAAATTTAAAAATGTAAACCACATGCTCGGAAATTATATACGACAATCAGAGCTTTTCTATTGCTGAAGTGATTAGAAAATCTCTGCTACAATGGCTATTTAGCTCCTTGATAGGCTTCTTAACAGCCTATCAAGGAGCCTCCAACATGGTATTTCAAAATGCAAAACAGTCTATTTAATGTATTTGAATGATGACGTTAATCTTAACAAGTACACAGGTATAGCCGCATCAATTCATGTATTTGAATTACTTCAAATGATTTGTATTGTGACTTTTTATTGGTCAGAGTAATACAAAGTTACGATTTTGTAATAATCATACTTATTATATTATTTTCTAAGTGGTTATGCTATTATCAAACATAGCCTACTATGTCTGTCCTGATTAAGTTTCCAATTCAATAGGCCTAGTCAATTCCAAATAAACGAACCAAAAACGTTTTGATATACATAAATATGTAGTATTTTTTTTGTTGATTATCAATGCAGCTGCAATTTTAGTAACATGCTTCAGGCTATTTTAAATTTTAGCAGACGCTCTTATCCAGAGCGACTTACAGTTAGTGAGTGCATACATTTTCATACTGGCCCCCCGTGGGAATCGAACCCACAACCCTTGCGTTGCAAGCGCCAAGCTCTACCAACTGAGCTACACGGGGCTAAAAAAGTCTGCATTGCGCAACCATTTGAACTTACCTGCAGCGAGACAAACTGGCAGCAGCAGCCTGAAGACCAGTCCGCACACCACCTGGGAAGCCATTCCTTAGGATTTATGAAATATTAACAGAAAAGCTATTTTATGGTGATACGCTGCTATCTGGCATTAGGGAATCTCAATGCACCCGTCCAGCTCTCTCCAACGTCCAGGTGAGAGGGCATTGTCCGGTTAGTGTCTCAGACATTTTTTTTTTTTAAAGTCCAAGTCCGAAACAGCGCTTTTCATAAACAATAGCCAACAGCCGAGAAAAGTTTAGGCACCGCAGCGTCCTCTATCTTAGTTTCGACACCCACATCCAAAACCCCAAACATCTGGACCAGTAGGATAACACTCGTCACGCAGAGCAGCACACAGTTTCTTGCAGAAAAAAAGTGTGCTTGTAACAGCATATCAACAACATTGCAGTTTATCCACATTAAGACTACGTGTTGATAACGGTTGTCTTGAATGTGGATCACGCGTAGGCCTAATAGTAAATATATAGTTCCCCTAACTCCAGCACCGCGCTTAAGACAGAAAACAATTATGAAAAACAGTCAACAAGTTGAAATTCATTATCCCAGTCTTGGATAGTGAACGCAGTTTGTCCGGCTTCTTTATTCTCCTTTAGTTTGGTAAGAGAAGACACTTGGAAGTGCGTAAAAGCGTGACTATGCTATCCTAAGGAGATGCCTACCTAGCCGTCGCACACGCCCCAGCTCCCGCACAGCTGTATGTTTTACTACCTCGTATGATTACACTTTTCTCCTCCTCAATGAAAACTTCACAAGACCACCCTGTAACTGACAAATGACTCCACCATTGAGAAGTCAGGCAAGAATTAGGGAATGATGTCTGGTCCCCAATGAGGAGCGGGAGGTAGACGCAGGGCAGGGCAGGGCAGTGAGCGTGTAGCCTAGCCTATGTTGCTCCTCCCCTGAGAGATGCGAGGGCCGCAGGCGTGGCGGCCGCATTCCAAGTCCTCCTCTGGGTCAGGTAACTCCAACCCTCGCAGATTCCAAACTGGGACGATTTTACGGGACTAACGGGAAAAGGGGAATAAGGTTTGAGCCTTGCACAGGGACTGGTTATGGACGAGTAGGCTAGTTCACTATTGTTCTATTATTTGTTTATGAGCTACAACATCTCATATAATAGTTAAAACCATAGAGATAGAACATGTTATATTATATACGGTTGTAACATGGTACATTTTTTTTCTCGTTAATTAATTGATAGGCCTACGCTAATTGCGTAAAAATAGTTGAGGATTATATTATGAATAACCTATATGCATATGGTTATGATTTTGTAGGCTACTTGATTTATGGTATACACATAAACAAATAAAACATGTAGCTAATATGTAGGCTACACCTACAAGCAATAAATCATCATAACATAATGCTGCTTAGCAACAGTAACCTATGACATATTTATAGGCTACAAAACAGTTCGTGCAACGATTTGTTTGAGGGAGAGTGGATTTAGGTTGTTATAACGCATTAGCTTTGTTGTTACACAGTCTAAAACAACTAGCGCAGCAGCAGGCCAAGTTGCTTTTATACAAGAATAGAATGCAATGACAATCATGTATACAACAGCGACATCTGTCGGGTTTTGAGTGGTGCAACATGAAAGGCTTGGTTGGATAGGGTTGCAAAGGAAGAGTATATACTGGAAACTTTCGAAATGTACCTGTAAACTACCAGAATTTGTGTAATCTATTGCAAGACATATAGTGGCCCTTTTGGGTACTTCCGATTATCACAGGTGTCTGTTACAGTCTCTGGCCCTCTGTGTGGCCTTATCACATGTAAAATACATGAAATCATTAAACAATATTATTTTAAAATAAATAGAATGCCAATGCTCTAAAACATTAACCTAAATATAAACCATTAACTTATTGAATACCATATTTTTAGTAGGCCTATCCAGTTGTACATAGTGTTTTCATATCTCTATCAATTACATTTTCTTGGAATGTAGTTTAAGACAACAGGGGTCATTAGTAGCATGGTCGAATTTTACTTTTAGAAAAGGATATGGCCTTTTACACCCATTAACCATATATGGCTAAGTGATGCTTCCACTCCTTCACCATCTAAAATAGTGGAATGAATGTCACACAGCTTGTGAGAGGCAAAGTGAGTGTTAAGTGAATCAGATAGATATGGCCATCACAACAAGGGTATGGTATCACATGCACCAAGATGGTAAAAACAGAACCAAGAGAACCAACACAAGCATTGGGCTAGGTATAGCTAACGGGCATGTACAGTATGTGAATATATCCATATTTGTACAGGCATACCCATAAAAAAAAATGTTCACTGTTTTCCCATGATGATGGCTACATCACATTGCTATTCTATCAAATAAAAACAGATGTCAACAACAAAAAAAAAGGAACCACAATATTCATTAGACAATGTTGAATATGAATGGGAATGTACAGGTAACTGCCAAAATAAAGGAAACACTCAAGTAAATGAGGGATACAACGTATATTGAAAGCAGATGCTTCCACACAGGTGTGGTTCCTGAGTTAATTAAACAATTAACATCCCATCATGCTTAGGGTCATGTATAAAAATAGGCCATTATTTTATATCATGACCCCATAGGATGACAATTCCCTCATCCACAGGGGACGAGGGGGTCACTGAATGGTTTGATGAGCATGAAAACCAGACACCACGGCCGTCTCAGTCACCAGATCTCAACCCAATACAACACTTATGGAAGATTCTAGAGCGGCGCCTGAGACAGCGTTTTCCTGCACCATCAACAAAACACCAAATTATGACATTTCTCGTGGAAGAATGGTGTCACATCCCTCCAATAGAGTTCCAGACACTTGTAGAATCTACGCCAAGGTGCATTGAAGCTGTTCTGGCTCGTGGTGGACCAACGCCCTATTAAGACACTTTATAATTCTGGTTCCTTTATTTTGGCTGTTACCTGTATATCCATAAAATACTTCTGAAAAAACACGAACAAATGAAAAGGTGTGTAACAATAATGTACGAACAACGACAGGTGAATACAGCTGGCAAGAACACAAAGAGAATAACAAGTATTACTGTAATTGTTTATTTCATTTAATATAGTGAATAACTAGGCCTAACGGCACTGAAAATAATCTTGGCAGTGATTTAAGTCTTACCATCCACAACCATCACTACAAACCAAACATCTAGCTCCAGACAAACCTGCTCCATCTATTTTCATTACGTCATTGAAAACACGTCTACATTTTCCACCATTTTCCTTTGTATGAGGATCCATATTTAGAAAAGTTTTTTTAAACGGTTAAACATTGTGACAAACTTTAGTCAGTGTTTCAACTGTAAGAATAAATAAGCAGTACTTACAATCTACGTAATTACTACTGTAAATCTAGTCAACTTATTAACTGGCCGTGTGTATATTACATACTTGCAATAAACAGTAAAAAGATTTCCATATTAAAAGGAGAAATTACATTTTAGCTAAATCTCCTCTGAAAAAAAAGAGCAGGCTTGCATACTCTGCAGCAGGATTTCATATGATTTGAGGTAAAAGGCGGAGGAGAATCCACTGGATAGATGGAGGTAGACTTTTACTTTTGCACACCTGGGTCACTGTCGTCCCGCTTGTAGCTGATAGGCTGCAGTTGCTGGACGACGTAATTGGCCATCTCGTGGGTTCCTGCAGCGACCACTCTTCGGGACATGAGGTCGAGAGGACCCCCTGGAACAAAAAAAACACATCTTATGTAACTCCAACATCCATCAAAAACACACTCATAACCACATTCAAATCAACTATAAACAAACTATAAATACATGAAACTATAAATACATGAATCAGTCCTAACCCTCCTCACTCACAAATCAAATCTAAAACTATTTCAATCAAATTTCCATTCAGGCACCACTGCGGCCCACTACTAGACCGTTGGAACTGGTTGAAAGGTAAAATGGAGTCTTCTCCTACATTACAGGGAAGGAGCTGATAGGCCAGGCCAAGGCAGGCCGAGGCCTCAGAGGGCCCTTGTTCTCTCGGGACTGCCAGAGACTGAACGGCAGCACACAGCAGCTGACCACATGATCCCGACCTCACGCCCAGTCCCTCCGTCTCTCAACAGTGGTCCTTTTGTGCAACACCCCGGGCCTTGGGAAGAAGAGATGAACGAGGCAGACGGCCAGCCACTTCTTCAGCCGGATAGCAAGCTCAGCCTCACAATAGGCTTCGGAAGGGCACAGTCCATACGTCATTACTCAAGAGATAGCAACTATACTATGAAATATCAGAAATGGTACATTCTCTTTTTAAAAGTTACCGTGTCTATCACAATAATGACAGCCAATAAGAACTGATTCAATAATACCCTAGGGACTTTTCCATAATAACAGCATGCGTTTTTGCATTCTGTGGGACCTCATTAGTTATTTGCTCAAGTGAAAGCTCTAGCTAATATACCCATCTCATCACTGCCTCCTCCAGGACAACCATTCAGATGAGCTCAGTTTGAGACCAGAATACAGGGGGACATACAGTACAAATTATAAGCCTTATAGAAATAAACATTGAGTGTTTGTGAAACCGATCCCTATCACCCATCATTGACAGGGAGTCAAATAATCTATTGTATTGTAGTCTATTCTAGAACCCCCACCTGTGGTGTCTATGACGACTCCCCCGGCCTCTCGGATGATGACAGCGGCAGCGGCGATGTCCCAGCAGTGCAGGCCGTACTGGTAATAGGCCTCAGCCGCGCCCGTGGCTATCAGACACAGGGCCAGGGTGGAGCTGCCGATGATCCTCACCCTGGAACACACGGAGTAGCCAAGTGTCTCAGAGTAAGAGTGCTGATCTAGGGTCAGATCCCCCCTATCCATGTAATCTTATTCATTGTGATCCAAAAAAGGCAAAACTGATCCTAAACCAGCACTCCCACTCCGAGACGTTTGAGATATACGGCCCCTGGTCCCAGATCTGTTTATGCTCTATAGTCATGTTTGGCATGACAATGGCCACATATGCATTGAAGACAAAGCCCAAACAGACCTGGGACCAGGCTATTCAAGGAAAGTCTAAGGCCAAAATACATCACTGTATTGCCATTGGATCGTAAAGGTACAGACTAGACCCTGATATGAGGCCCATTAGACCCGGGTCATGTTCATCAGGTAACACAACAGAAAAACAGTTGATAATGTTTTGCAACCCTGTTTTAGTCTGTTTTCTTCCGTTTCGTGCCTAATGAACATGACCCAGAATGACCACTGAAACAGTCAGTGGGTACCCATGAGCTGGTGCACTCAGTAACTTCATGATGTTCCCTGAGAAGATGTTGAGTGTTGCTGGGTCCCGCTTGGCTCCGATCTCGGTCAAAATGAGCGCCTTGGAGACATCTATCAGTCGTTGGGAATAGAAAAACAGCTTCAGATTAGGATAATGGATACAGAACATCTTAGTAAACCAAAAAAAATCGATAACTTAAATCAATCAAGCTAACGTTTGATAATGCTGCATGGTACAATTGCTTGTTTCAGCTGCTTCCCTTGTTACTTTAACACAGGGGTAGGCAAGCCTGGTCCTGGGGTTCATGTTTTTGATTTAACCGACCTGGAAGGCCAGGTGTGTTACATTTAGTCAATCACTGAACTGATCCATTAGCTCAGTTGGTCAGGTGTGGTGCCTAGTTGGAACAAAATCCTGCAGTACCTGTGGCACTCCAGGAACAGGGTTGCCGACCCCTAGTTTAACATATGGCATTACAATCCACTATGAACATGTGGGTGCATCACACAAAGCGGTAAGGAGAAGTTGACTTACCTTTTTCCTTTGATACTTGGATCCTTACACCATTGCAAAATGCCCCGTGGCCTTTTCTTGCTGTGTATAATGTTCCATCGAAGCAATGGTATATCACTCCAAACTCAAGCTACATTAGAATACAAATTAATACCCTTTTAATAGTAATATTTTTTACTTGGTCAATTCTGTTCACCCACACTTCTCATGCTTACCTCTTTCTTCACAGCAAAACCAATGCTAACTGCAACCATGGGGAAACTGAGAAAATCAAGTACATCATCAATAGCCTAAATCTTTGGTGATGCTATTCTATCGATAACAGAGTATTAATATTTTCTTTATTTACTATGTTTATTTCAACATGTATAGTTCCAAATCCCTAATCTGAGGAAATGGCTGTCGTAGATATTGCTGTTGGAAACTGTCATTGTACCTGTGAACAAAGTTACAGGTGCCATCGATAGGGTCTATGATCCAGGAGGGGCTGTCTGTGAGGATGCATTTCTCCCCGGCTGCAGACGACTCCTCTCCGATGAACCTGTCACAAGTTCACCAAATACAGCGTGTGAATGCCATGCGTGCATCATTCCCTGACACTCAGCACTGTCATGATTAGAGGCCTAAAGAGGTCTTTCAGCTGTGTAAACGCAGAGGGCCTAGCGCAGACGTGTCAAACTCATTACATGGAAGGCCTAGTGCAGGGTTTCCCGAACTCTGTTCTGGGGACCCCAAGTGGTACGCGTTTTGGTTTTTGCCGAAGCACTACACAGCTGATTCAACTAATCATCAAGCTTTGATTATTTGAATCAGCTGTGTAATGCTAGGGCAAAAACCAAAACGCGTACCACTTGGGGTCCCCAGAACAGAGTTTGGGAAACGCTGGCCTAGTGTCCTTTCAATTAAGACCTAGAAAACCAGTTGAGGGCAGTTCATTACTTATTAGTGACCTTAATTCATCAATCAAGTATATATAGCCTCCCTGTATATATAGCCTCCCTACTGTTATTTTATTTTACTTCTGCTCTTTTTTTCTCAACACTTTTTTTGTTGTTGTTTTATTTTTACTTTTTTTGTTAAAAATAAATGCACTGTTGGTTAAGGGCTGTAAGTAAGCATTTCACTGTAATGTCTGCACCTGTTGTATTCGGCGCATGTGACCAATAAAATTTTATTTTGATTTGATTTGAAGTACAAGGGAGGAGTGAAAACCCGCACACACTCCTCCGTAGAATGAGTTTGACACCTGTGGCAGAGGGCAGGGGCTAGTTGGGAGCCAAAATGTAACCCCCCCTGTGTTGAGGAGATACCATTGGAAGATCCCACTGCGTACCTGTGCGAGGGGAACTTGTCCCTGAGGGTGGAGATGATGAGCTCCTCCACCTGCTGGTCGGCCTCCGTTACCAGGTCGGTTGGCGTGCTCTTGGTACTCACGTTCTTCTCGTGCTTCACCGCCTCCTGCACTACCTGGAGGGGGCGGGACCAAGTAACATATAGCACACACCTGGAGGGGGCGGGACCAAGTAACATATAATGCACACCTGGAGGGGGTGGGACCAAGTAACATATAGCACACACCTGGAGGGGTGGACCCAAGTAACATATAGCACACACCTGGAGGGGGCGGGACCAAGTAACATATGCAACACACCTGAGGGGGCGGGACCAAGTAACATATAGCACACACCTGGAGTGGGGCGGGAACCAGTAACATATAGCACACACCTGGAGGGGGGCGTGGACCAAGTAACAATATAGCACACACCTGGATGGGGCGGAACCAAGTAACATATAAGGCACACCTGGAGGGGGTGGACCAAGTAACATATAGCACCACACTGGAGGGGGTGGGAACCAAGTAACATATAGCACACACTGGAGTGGGCGGACCAAGTAACATATAGGCACACACCTGGAGGGGTGCGGGAACCAAGTAACATATAGCACACAGCTGTAGGGGGCGGAACCAAGTAACATATAAGCGACACTGGAGGGGGCGGACCAATTAACATATTAAAAAATACAAACACCTGGAGGGGGTGGAACCAAGTAACATATAGCACAACCAACACTGGAAGGGGGCGGGAACCAAGTAACATAAGGCAGACAGCCTGGAGTGGCGGAAACCAAGTAAATATAGCACACACCTGGAGGGGGGCGGGAACCAAGTAACATATAGCACACACCTGGAGGGGGTGGAACCAAGTAACATATAGCACACACCTGGAGGGGGCGGAACCAAGTAACATATAGCACACACCTGGAGGGGGTGGAACCAAGTAACATATAGCACACACCTGGAGGGGGCGGAACCAAGTAACATATAGCACACACCTGGAGGGGGCGGGACCAAGTAACATATAGCACACACCTGGAGGGTGCGGGACCAAGTAACATATAATGCATACCTGGAGGGGGCGGGACCAAGTAACAATAATGCAATACCTGGAGGGGGCGGGACCAAGTAACATATAGCACACAGCCTGGAGGGTGGAACCAAGTAACATATAGCACACCCTGGAGGGGGCGGGAACCAAGTAACATATAGCACACACCTGGAGGGGGCGGGACCAAGTAACATATAGCACCACCTGGAGGGGGCGGGACCAAGTAACATATAGCACACACCTGGAGGGGGCGGGACCAAGTACATATAGCACAGCACCTGGAGGGGGCGGACCAAGTAACATATAGCACACACCTGGAGGGGCGGGACCAAGTAACATATAGCACACACCTGGAGGGGGTGGACCAAGTAACATATAGCACACACCTGGAGGGGGCGGGACCAAGTAACATATAGCACCACCTGGAGGGGGCGGGACCAAGTAACATATAGCACACACCTGGAGGGGGCGGGACCAAGTAACATATAGCACACACCTGGAGGGGGCGGAACCAAGTAACATATAGCACACACCTGGAGGGGGCGGGACCAAGTAACATATAGCACACACCTGGAGGGGGCGGGAACCAAGTAACATATAGCACACACCTGGAGGGGGCGGGACCAAGTAACATATAGCAACACCTGGAGGGGGGGAACCAAGTAACATATAGCACACACCTGGAGGGGCGGGACCAAGTAACATATAGCACAACCTGGAGGGGGCGGGACCAAGTAACATATAGCACACACCTGGAGGGGGCGGACCAAGTAACATATAGCACACACCTGGAGGGGGTGGAACCAAGTAACATATAGCACACACCTGGAGGGGACGGGACCAAGTAACATATAGCACACACCTGGAGGGGCGGGACCAAGTAACATATAGCACACACCTGGAGGGGGCGGGACCAAGTAACATATATGCATCACCTGGAGGGGGCGGACCAAGTAACATATAGCACACACCTGGAGGGGGCGGGACAAGTAACATACACCACGAGGGGGGACCAAGTACATAGACACACCTGGAGGGGGGGAACCAAGTAACATATAGCACACACCTGGAGGGGGCGGAACCAAGTAACATATAGCACACACCTGGAGGGGGTGGAACCAAGTAACATATAGCACACACCTGGAGGGGGTGGAACCAAGTAACATATAGCACACACCTGGAGGGGGTGGAACCAAGTAACATATAGCACACACCTGGAGGGGGGGACCAAGTAACATATAGCACATACCTGGAGGGGGCGGGACCAAGTAACATATAGCACACACCTGGAGGGGGCGGGACCAAGTAACATATAGCACACACCTGGAAGGGGTGGAACCAAGTAACATATAGCACACACCTGGAGGGGACGGGACCAAGTAACATATAGCACACACCTGGAGGGGGCGGGACCAAGTAACATATAGCACACACCTGGAGGGGGCGGGACCAAGTAACATATAGCACACACCTGGAGGGGGGGGAACCAAGTAACATATAGCACACACCTGGAGGGGGCGGGACCAAGTAACATATAATGCATACCTGGAGGGGGCGGGACCAAGTAACATATAGCACACACCTGGAGGGGCGGAACCAAGTAACATATAGCACACACCTGGAGGGGGGGAACCAAGTAACATATAGCACACACCTGGAGGGGCGGACCAAGTAACATATAGCACACACCTGGAGGGGGCGGGACCAAGTAACATATAGCACACACCTGGAGGGGGCGGAACCAAGTAACATATAGCACACACCTGGAGGGGGCGGACCAAGTAACATATAGCACACACCTGGAGGGGGCTGGAACCAAGTAACATATAGCACACACCTGGAGGGGGCGGAACCAAGTAACATATAGCACACACCTGGAGGGGGTGGAACCAAGTAACATATAGCACCACCTGGAGGGGCGTGGACACCAAGTAACATATAGCACACACCTGGAGGGGGCGGGACCAAGTAACATATAGCACACACCTGGAGGGGGTGGAACCAAGTACATATAGCACACACTGGAGGGGCGGGACCAAGTAACATATAGCACACCTGGAGGGGGTGGAACCAAGTAACATATAGCACACACCTGGAGGGGGTGGAACCAAGTAACATATAGCACACACCTGGAGGGGGCGGAACCAAGTAACATATAGCACACACCTGGAGGGGACGGGACCAAGTAACATATAGCACACACCTGGAGGGGACGGGAACCAAGTAACATATAGCACACACCTGGAGGGGGCGGGAACCAAGTAACATATAGCACACACCTGGAGGGGGCGGACCAAGTAACATATATGCACACCTGGAGGGGGGGAACCAAGTAACATATAGCACACCTGGAGGGGTGGAACCAAGTAACATATAGCACACACCTGGAGGGGCGGAACCAAGTAACATATAGCACACACCTGGAGGGGTGGAACCAAGTAACATATAGCACACACCTGGAGGGGTGGAACAAAGTAACATATAGCACACACCTGGAGGGGCGGGACCAAGTACATATAGCACACACCTGGAGGGCGGGACCAAGTAACATATAGCACCACCTGGAGGGGGTGGAACCAAGTAACATATAGCACACACCTGGAGGGGGCGGAACCAAGTAACATATAGCACACACCTGGAGGGGCGGGACCAAGTAACGATATAGCACACACCTGGAGGGGACGGGACCAAGTAACATATAGCACACACCTGGAGGGGGTGGAACCAAGTAACATATAGCACACACCTGGAGGGGGTGGACCAAGTAACATATAGCACACACCTGGAGGGGGCGGGACCAAGTTACATATAGCACACCCTGGAGGGGGCGGAACCAAGTAACATATAGCACACACCTGGAGGGGGCTGGACCAAGTAACATATAGCACACACCTGGAGGGGGTGGACCAAGTAACATATAGCACCACCTGGAGGGGGTGGAACCAAGTAACATATAGCACACACCTGGAGGGGGTGGAACCAAGTAACATATAGCACACACCTGGAGGGGGCGGGACCAAGTTACATATAGCACACACCTGGAGGGGGCGGGACCAAGTAACATATAGCACACACCTGGAGGGGTGGAACCAAGTAAATATAGCACACACCTGGAGGGGGCGGGACCAAGTAACATATATGCACACCTGGAGGGGGCGGAACCAAGTAAATATAGCACACACCTGGAGGGGGCGGGACCAAGTAACATATAGCACACACCTGGAGGGGTCGGGACCAAGTAACATATAGCACACACCTGGAGGGGGCGGAACCAAGTAACATATAGCACACACCTGGAGGGGGCGGGACCAAGTAACATATAGCACACACCTGGAGGGGGGAACCAAGTAACATATAGCAACACCTGGAGGGGTGGAACCAAGTAACATATAGCACACACCTGGAGGGGCGGAACCAAGTAACATATAGCACACACCTGGAGGGGTGGAACCAAGTAACATATAGCACACACCTGGAGGGGTTGGGACCAAGTAACATATATGCACACCTGGAGGGGGGAACCAAGTAACATATAGCACACACCTGGAGGGGGTGGACCAAGTAACATATAGCACACACCTGGAGGGGGACGGAACCAAGTAACATATAGCACACACCTGGAGGGGGGGACACAAGTAACATATAGCACACACCTGGAGGGGGTGGAACAAGTAACATATAGCACACACCTGGAGGGGCGGGACCAAGTACATATAGCACACACCTGGAGGGGGCGGGACCAAGTAACATATAGCACACACCTGGAGGGGGTGGAACCAAGTAACATATAGCACACACCTGGAGGGGGCGGGACCAAGTAACATATAGCACACACCTGGAGGGGGTGGAACCAAGTAACATATAGCACACACCTGGAGGGGGCAGGACCAAGTAAGAATAGCACACACCTGGAGGGGGCGGGACCAAGTTACATATAGCACACACCTGGAGGGGGGTGGACCAAGTAACATATAGCACACACCTGGAGGGGGTGGACCAAGTAACATATAGCAACACCTGGAGGGGGCGGAACCAATTAACATATAGCACACACCTGGAGGGGGCGGGAACCAAGTAACATAATATAGCACACACCTGGAGGGGGCGGAACCAAGTAACATATAGCACACACCTGGAGGGGGTGGAACCAAGTAACATAGCACACACCTGGAGGGGTGGAACCAGTAACATATAGCACACACCTGGAGGGGGCGGGAACCAAGTAACATATAGCACACACCTGGAGGGGGTGGAACCAAGTAACATACAGCACACACCTGGAGGGGGTGGAACCCAAGTAACATATAGCACCACACCATGGTGGGGCGGACCAAGTAAAACATATAGCACCCACCTGGAGGGGGCGGAACCAGTAAACATATAGCACACACCATGGAGGGGGCGGGACCAAGTACATATAGCACACACCTGGAGGGGGGCGGGACCACGTAAACCATAGCACACACTGGAGGGGTGGAACCAAGTAACATATAGCACCACACTGGAGGGGGTGGACCAAGTAACATATAATGCACACCTGGAGGGGGTGGGACCAAGCTAAACATATAGCCACACACCTGGAGGGGCGGGGACCAAGTTACATATAGCACACACCTGGAGGGGGCGGGACCAAGTAAACATATAGCACACACCTGGAGGGGGTGGGAACCAAGTAACCTATAGCACACACCTGGAGGGGGTGGGAACCAAAGTAACATATAATTGCACACCTGGAGGGGGTGGGACCAAGTAACATATAGCACACACCTGGAGGGGGTGGAACCAGTAAACATATAGCAACACACCTGGGAGGGGGGGGAACCAAGTAACATATAGCACACACCTGGAGGGGGTGGAACCAAGTAACATATAAGCACAACACCTGGAGGGGCGGGACAAGTAACATTGAGGCACATGCACCTGGAGGGGGTGGTGGGAACCAAGTAAAATACAAGCAACAGCAACCTGGAGGGGGCGGGACCAAGTAACATATAGGCACACCTGGAGGGGGCGGGACAGTAACATATAATGCACATCTGGATGGGGCGGTACAAGTAACATCTATGCATACCGGAGGGGGCGGGACAAAGGAACATAATAGCACACACCTGGAGGGGGCGGGACCAAGTAACATATAGCACACACCTGGAGGGGGTGGAACCAAGTAACATACAGCACACACCTGGAGGGGGCGGGACCAAGTAACATATAATGCACACCTGGAGGGGGCGGGACCAAGTAACATATAATGCACATCTGGAGGGGGCGGGACCAAGTAACATATAATGCATAACTGGAGGGGGCGGGACCAAGTAACATATAGCACACACCTGGAGGGGGCGGGACCAAGTAACATATAGCACACACCTGGAGGGGGCGGGACCAAGTAACATATAATGCACACCTGGAGGGGGTGGAACCAAGTAACATATAGCACACACCTGGAGGGGGTGGAACCAAGTAACACTTGACTTACCTTACCAACTCTAAATGCAACTTCTACAGCAACATCCATGCACTCCCGCCAGCACTTGTCACTGTCCGAGGTTGTCATTTTATAATGAGGAGCAGGGGCTATTTTTTTGCCGTTTACGGTAGGTTATTCCAGGCATCCAAGAGTCAGCAAATTATAACCTATTATGTGGCTTGCGGCACAGTTCCGAATCTGCGGTGTATGTCTCCGGTACGGTCCCGTTATGGCCGGTGTCCACCTCCGCGATGCAGACGGGTGCTCTCTTCTCTACTGCCTTGCTATTGAGTGGACTTCGATAACAACAACGTTTGTAAATAATGTACGATTCTACGTTGGATTCGAAGGACCTTGATAGGGGCAAAACGAATCTCTAGTCCCGTCAACGTCGACGAGACATGACCAATCTGGAACCTGGAACTAGATGAAAGCAAACTCCATGTTATTGGTCGCCATTGTCAACCTGTAGCCTATAAATAATATTTGGCGAGGAAAACTCTTGAATAAACAACATTGTATTTTACTCACAGTCAGTTAGCCTAAGTTACGGTCTCCTACAGCATAAGGCACGTAGAATGAAATGTCTTGTAGGTAAACACAGACGAGGACTTCCGACGCATTCGTATCCAGTGATGATGAAAAAAAATGCCGCGGCGAGTAGGCTAAACAGAATTAACACTGCACCACGTGATGATGTCTGGCGTGCTGTCACGGATGGATAACATTTTATCCACGACCACCAATGTATCGAAATGTTGCCTAGTAGACTGCATTAAATCTGTGCTTGAAGATCAAAGTGAGGTCTCAAACATATTTAGTCTTTATCTTTGTTGTGTTAGAAATTGCGTAATTCAAATCTGGTATTGGAATAAGAATCAAGAGATCTTCAATCCAAGCTTAATTTATTATATGCAAAATGTATGTATGATAAGTATGAAGGTTCGTATATACGGGTCCACTGAAATACCACGCAGGGCACTCAGTTAACTAATCCATTGTTCTAAGTTCTTCTTAAAATACACTGACAGAAAGCCTCCACTTCTTATGTTGGCCAACCAGAGCAAAGGACTGAGTGTGGTCCAGACTCCATTTCAGCCAATCCGTTCCATTTGTTACCAGGCATAATTGCTATGATAATAACCTGCGGAGTCAGCACCGAAAATACACAAAATCCACTGTAGCCATGTTCAAGGACAGTTTCACAGACATCAAAGAGAGAGTGTTCTTATCAGCCTGTTATGTGAAACAATCCATATCAGTACAGTGCTCCTCATTAATGCATTCCTTCCAAGCTATTCATCACATACAAATCCAATTAAAAAATAAAACCCAACAATTGTCAGTTTATGAATAAAGTTTGACATGATTTGAATAAGCTTACCCTTTTAATAACACTACTTAAAGCCTGCAGGTATAATGCCTTATTGCTTATTATAAGCATGATGCGCCTTTATAATATATTATTATTAGGCTTATAATAGCCCTATACATCTCGCTATATATAAGCTTTTAATTTAGTCTGGAGCATTCTAAAATGATAAAAACAGATAAGGATCATAGCCTACATGCTTATGACATGTCTTAATGATGACGGTTTTGAAACGACAATAGGCTGATAGCCTATTGAATTATATTCCTAATGGGAAGGAAAAAACATCTGGCAAGCTCCCGATTAATGAAATCCTACTCGAATAGGGTCTGTCAATTCCTAGAGAAGGAGATTATAAGGGTGCGCACCCTTATAAACTATTCTCTCCATAATCCTAATCTATTGCTGGCTAGTGATAAAGATTTAAGAAAGGACTGGGCGATTGTGTGTGTTTGTGTGTGTGTGTGTGTGTGTGTGTGTGTGTGTGTGTGTGTGTTTTATAGCCAGAGAGAGATTTAGAGAGTAATTTCAGTCATTTACTCTTGAGCGTGCAGTCTCTCAGAATGACCTTCTTGATCCAAACCAGTCAGGTTTCAAGACTGGTCATTCAACTGAGACTGCTCTTCTCTGTGTCACGGAGGCTCTCCGCACTGCTAAAGCTAACTCTCTCTCCTCTGCTCTTATCCTTCTAGACCTATCTGCTGCCTTTGATACTGTGAACCATCAGATCCTCCTCTCCACCCTCTACGAGTTGGGCATCTCCAACGCTGCTCACTCTTGGATTGCGTCCTACCTGACAGGTCGCTCCTACCAGGTGGCGTGAATCTGTCTCCGCACCACGTGCTCTCACCACTGGTGTCCCCCAGGGCTCAGTTCTAGGCCCTCTCCTATTCTCTCTATACACCACTCCACCACTTGGCTCTGTCATATCCTCACATGGTCTCTCCTATCATTGCTACACAGACGACACACAATTAATTTTCTCCTTTCCCCCTTCTGATAACCAGGTGGTGAATCGCATCTCCGCATGTCTGGCAGACATATCAGTGTGGATGTCGGATCACCACCTCAAGCTGAACCTCTGCAAGACGGAGCTGCTCTTCCTCCTGGGGAAGGACTGCCCGCTCCATGATCTTGCCATCACGGTTGACAACTCCATTGTGTCCTCCTCCCAGAGTGCAAAGAACCTTGGCGTGACCCTGGACAACACCCTGTCGTTCTCCGCTAACATCAAAGCGGTGACCCAATCCTGCAGGTTCATGCTCTACAACATTCGCAGAGTACGACCCTACCTTATACAGAAAGCGGCACAGGTCCTAATCCAGGCACTTGTCATCTCCCATCTGGATTACTGCAACTCGCTGTTGGCTGGGCTCCCTGCCTGTGCCATTAAACCCCTACAATTTATCCAGAACGCTGCAGCCCGTCTGGTGTTCAACCTTCCCAAGTTCTCTCATGTCACCCCGCTCCTCCGCACACTCCATTGGCTTCCAGTTGAAGCTCGCATCTACTACAAAACCATGGTGCTTGCCTACGGAGCTGTGAGGGGAACGGCACCTCCTTACCTTCAGGCTCTGATCAGACCCTACACCCAAACGAGGGCACTACGTTCATCCACCTCTGGCCTGCTAGCCCCCCTACCTCTACGGAAGCACAGTTCCCGCTCAGCCCAGTCAAAGCTATTCGCTGCTCTGGCACCCCAATGGTGGAACAAGCTCCCCCACGACGCCAGGACAGCGGAGTCACTGACCACCTTCCGGAGACACTTGAAACCCTACCTCTTTAAGGAATACCTGGAATAGTATAACAGTAATCCTTCTACCCCCCCCCCCCCCCCCCTCCTACACCCCCCCCATTAAAATAAAATAACAAAATAAAAAATAAAAAGGTGGTTGTCCCAATGGCTATCATATGTTGAATGCACCAATTTGTAAGTCGCTCTGGATAAGAGCGTCTGCTAAATGACTTAAATGTAAAAAAAATTACTTCGAAATCTATAGATATGATAGGCATATATGATAGGTATTCCCCTAGGGTTAGAATTAGGTAAAAACACATGTAGCTGGGTTAACTCTAGTGAAATGCATTCCACCATATACTTTGAAAGTAGCACTATAGTTGTGAGCCTCAATAGACTAATCCACCCATTGTGTATGCAGTGCAGGGTGGATTAACTGGTTTGACTGGGTCTGAGACAATACAGATGGGTTTCTATTGGAGATTACGTAATAGGTCTTGGCATTTCCAAAACGAAATTACATTAAATCACACATACAAACAATAGGCCTACACAATCTCTAATAGCTTGGATTTCCAAAACCACAAACAAAGAGAATTCTTGCTATGTCACTAAGTGTGTCAGAATTATCCCGGTCACGGCCAGCTGTGACACAGCCTGGGCTCAAACCCGGGTCCGTTGTGGTCTGGGATCGAACTTGGGTTTGACCCGTAGCCTTAGACCACTGCGCCACTCAGGAGTCCTAATTGGGCACATTTTTTGCCACTCAAGACAAGTCGATTGTTGACATCTGTAACGTTTTAGCTCAGCCTCACGCTAACCATTTTCCTAACCTTAACCTCATTCTCCTAACCTGCCACGTTAATGATCCTAACCTGCTATGTTAATTATCCTAACCTGCTACGTTAGTTATCTTAACCTGCTATGTAAACATTAAGCTGACCCGTGGTGCACCTGGCTATGGACGGTCTAATCAATAATGGAGCGCTGATGTTACAGCCATCGCTGTTGGTCCACCCGTTGATGTTACACCCATCGCTGTTGATCCACCCACTTCTTTTACAACGCCCACTTTCAGACACAGTCCAAGTATGCAGTTACTCATACCGTTCCTTTTGTCCAATTTATGCTTTTGCCACAAATACGAGTATAATTATTTGGGTATGAGTTAACAGAATATAAACTTTTAAAAGTGAGATTTTCCCTGGACCATTACTTTAAAACTGCAACATTTTCTCTCAGCCTCATGGCAAATTGTGTAGAGAAGCAGGAAATTAGCTTTAAAATTGCAACATTTTCTCTCATCCTCATGGCAAAATATGAAGAATAGCATTATAAAACTGCACATTTTTCTATTGTGTGTTGTGTTGAAATGCAGGAAGTTAGCTAATTTCCAAAAATATGTTTTCCCAAAAAATATATTAAAATGTTTACTTTTAGGGGGGTTGGGGGGCCTTCCACTTTTCCTTCCACTTATACTGTGTTTTCAAAATCCCCTTCCATATACCCCTCAAAATACCGCTCCATATACCCCTCAAAATACCCGTCCATATACCCCTCAAAATACCACTCAGAGGCATAATAAATAATGTCAAACTGTGTAGAATTGCAGGAAATGCGCAGGGGAGGGAGGACCCTCCATCTACTGTTCATCCACCCCAATATCTACACCACGATTTTGCCTTTGGCTTAGACCTTACTTTACATCTGAGGTTTTTCTGTTGAGTCTGCCATCGGTTGAGACACAAAATGCTTTTGAATACAGGGTGGGTGTCATTTAAATCATAGAACTATAATTCATAGAATTATACAATTTAGCTGGTACACCATTTACATTTTTATTGAATTGACATATTTACTTCTAATTAATACCACAAAGAAGACCGCCGCTCCACCCACCATCGAATGTCAACTTAAATTGTTATGTCTATTATATTATCTATATTTCTATGATTTCAATAGGTTTCCTATGGAGGATTGACAGTTTAATTTAAAACAACAGGATATTCCCATTCAAGTCAACCTTCTCTGATGTGTGGACCTCCAACCATCTTTGTGGTACCATTTGAAAGTTAACATTACAATTGTATTATCAGCCGAAACATGACACCCACGTTTTATTCAATAGCATGTTGCGTTTCAACCGATGGCGGGCACAACTCAAAAACCGTAGATGATGTAAAATAGGGTCTAAGCTACAAAGTATGCGAGTATGAAAAAAATCTGAGTTTACGAGTTTTTAGATCATTGACGTTAAAGGTTAAAAATGACATAATAATACAAAAAAATGATAATCTTCTATTGTAAATTAATTTGACAACCCTGTTTGTAAGCTTTTAAATGATATAAATCTCAATCTTTTATATTTTCCAGTGATGAAGACATGAATGTCTAATGGTAGGGTGGGGTATGCAAAATGGGTCAACTTTGAGCACCTTTATCTCTTGAATGTTTTGGCATTCAGGTCCAAAAAGTCACTTTCGGAGCACTTCTACAATGGGCAAATATGTATGGCAGATTTTGTTCAAATCAAAAGGAGTGCTCTCAAAAACAGATTGAATTCAAATGGATTTACCTTTTCAGTACATTTCATCACAAAGATAGATATTAGAATGTAGATGTGTGGATGGTCGACAAATACAAACGTTATACTGTTGCCATCAAAACAATGTAGCTAGTCACAAGTCAATAAAAATGCACGTGACAAAGTGACATATACAGTACCAATCAGGCTATCATAATTACGAATCAGATTCATCTCTGAAGAACGTTGTTGCTCGTGCTGCCCAATAGCAAAAAAAAAAAGAAGTCAAACAAGGTTGTGTTCAGTATGACAGAACGGTGTGCAACGTTCAATTCAACGGAAACGGTAGGCCTACTGTACTGAACCACCAGTTGAAAAACGTTGTGATTATGGTGGCCCAGAGGGCAGTTATCATATGGTGTACTGCACAAGTTTTGCGATTTCAGATGGTCACACCTATATTGATCAGGCCACACCTCGCCACACCCATCGAACGGGAGCAAACGTAGGCTACTTCAAAGGCTGTCGAAGAACGGTGCACACCGTTTTGGGGAAACGTGTGGTTCAGTGTGAACGTTGATGCGAACTGAACGCACCCCAGCACACACACACTCATGCTCAAACTGCGTCGCGCTTAATGCCATAAACTAGTTTAGTGGACTTTGTTGCCAAATTAAGCCATAATTGCAGTCAAATATTGATATCTACGAAGTACTTTGTTATCAACAACTATTCAGCCTCCGCATTCTCTTCACTAGACATCCCACGCGAGTCATATTTGGGAGATTGCTGTCGCATGACAATCCTAAACGGACCAAGAACTATTGACACCGACGAATATGCGTATTTTTAGCCAGGGCATGAGTCCTCTGCACTATTCGTAAGCCGTTAAGCAATCTAGGGCACGTTTTTTCAATGATTTAGTAGGATTTAGTTCGCCTTGTCCGGCAGTGACTGGAACAGATTGGCATTTCGTTTTCAGACATGCACGGACTGAGTTGCAAATGTAAATGGGGCCTTACTTTCATTATGTTCTTATCTGTCATTTGCGTGTTTATCTTCTGTGAATATTTGATATATTACCCTGCAATTTTGCGTTGTTCGTGGCCGGAGTTGAATGGAGACAGCGGCAAGGGAGTCCCCCCGCTTCGCGCATTGTTTCTGTCGGATACACACCTCCTTGGCGCAATAAAGGGACACTGGCTCGACAAACTGCGAAGGTATGCTGTGAACTCCTATTCCAATTTCATTGCTAATGCGTATCATATTAATAAGAAATATATATATATATATTGTGTGTTTTACATCCCTTTAGGACTGTCATTTGTTGAATGTGTGCATTTCAAACCTCTCTTTGGTCAAAGTTTTAATTTGCATCTCGTATCAGATGTATAAAAAAAACAATGAACAGAAACAGACCGTATAACGCCCTCCAAACACGTCCATAAGTCATGGAAAGTGGGATTTTTAAAATATTTTTAGGACAGGAATAGAATTAATCCTCTTAGATGGCTCAAATTAATATCAGATCATATGAAATCACCATGGCATCCAACTTCACCAGCTAGGGCACTAAACCGGATCACAGCTTTGACTGCAATGCCTCATGTTCACATGGTCCACAAAATGAGTTCTATTGGTCAGTTTCAATAGTCTTCTTCATTGGGAGGATGCTACCAGGATTTGTTTAATACATTATACAACATGATGGACAAGAATACTTTAAATCAATGGTGGTTGTCTCTTGGTGTTGGGTAGTCATGACCAACAGATTATTATCTGGGCCAGGAGTATTTCCTTACGGGGCAACTCTGGACTGTAATAGGCTATCACTATAGTCAGGGCCCAGAGTTTTTCCTAGTGGTCAGGAAAACTCCCTGCCCTAATCCTAATGTACTGTACATTCCTCCCTGATAGAGAATGGCAGATGGAGAGATCTTTCCAGACAGCACTGGGGCTCCTACAGCCAGAGGTGGTCTTCATTTTGGGAGACCTCTTCGACGAGGGGAAATGGAGCTCCCCAAAGGTTTGTTGATGGACACTGTCAGTTATCAGACCTGATAGACGACACAGCTGGACTACTCAGGATATGTGATGATAATATATGTTGGTACATAAGGGGATGTGTGTGTGTGTGTGTGTGGATTTGAGCACTGGCCATTCAATTTGCTGGACAGATTGTCCTTGAGGTGTGACTGACCCCCACCAGACGTGCTTTAGTAGACACAGACAGTGAATAGGAGTATGCGTTTGGGAGTTCATTACAGTCATTATGAGTTAATGGTATGACGTAAACCATAATCCAACTGAGGAAGGAAGTAAATAACAGTAGTACACATCCTACTGTACACATCCTACTGCGTCTAGTGCTAGGAGGGGTTGAGGCAGATGTTGATACCCCAGCTCAAACTGTTCCAAACTGTGACCATCTGAAAATGCACCTTGTGTTCTTCAGGACTGGGAGGATGACGTCCGCCGCTTTAAGCAGATCTTCCGACATCCCAGTGATGTGGAGCTCATAGCCATCATTGGGAACCATGACATTGGCTTCCATCATGAGTAAGTTAAGTTCAGAAGTTTCACTGTTAAATGGAGGCTACCAGGGAACATTTCAACAACATCATTCTCTCTATTGTTACCTAGTTCTGCTAACAATAGTAAGTTACGTTGTCTGTAGTCGGGGTGAGTTAGTGCACTGTGCCCCCATGCCCTGTGGTGGTGGTACTAATGTCCTCTTGACGTCATTTTTAAAAAACTTTGAACAGGATGAACTGGTACAAACTTGAACGCTTCGAGAAGGTGTTCAATGTCACGTCTGCCCGGATCGTAACCAACAAGGGAGTCAAGTAGGTTGCTTTACTGTAAATAGCGACATCTAACCTCAAAATCCTGCATGTAAACAGTTTAACAATGTGTGGATTGTGGTTAGTCACGTTGATGTGTAGCTTAGCTCCAATCCTTGTACCATCATTAATGTATGGTTTTAATGTATGGTTTTAATGTGTGTGTGTGTTTTCCCATTAAGTTTTGTACTGGTGAACAGTATGGCCATGCATGGAGACCGTTGCCCCATCTGCGAGCATGTGGAAAACGAGCTGTACAGCCTCTCTCAGGCTCTCAACTGTTCAGTGCTGGTGATCTTTATCACAACCAACATCCTCATCAATGCCACACACACACACACACACACACACACACACAAAATGGGGGTTATTGGGATTTGGAGAGAAGCAGAGATTTGAGCGTTGACAAAAAATCAAGAGAGTCACCATAGAGCTTTTTACATGTTACTCAGTGCCAAAGAGATTTGTGGGTCAAATGTTTTGGGTTTGTACCCAGACTTTATTCACTAACATCCCCAGAAATGTATTCCGTAAATGTCTTTTGAAACGTGGTAAGCATAATGTTGTCACGAAAGATGAAGGCTTGTCCCTACACATTGTCAACATTATGTTACTCCCATTGCCAATGTGAAAGTAGATTGTAATGATATTGTGGATTTCACAGAGCCACCGGTCAAGCAGCATGAGAACATACTGTCAGGACGATATGCAGAAGTTTCCCCACTCTTCACCTATCATCCTACAGGTACGGTTTAGTGTGCGTGCGTGCTTGTGAAGTGAGTGAGAGTACATTAGTTAATTATAGGTCATTGCAGTGTCATTGTACACTGTGTACAAAACATAGGAACACCTACAGGTACGGTTTAGTGTGCGTGCGTGCTTGTGAAGTGAGTGAGAGTACTTTAGTTAATTATAGGTCATTGCAGTGTCATTGTACACTGTGTACAAAACATAGGAACACCTTCCTAATATTGTGTTGCACCCCCTTTTGCCCTCAGAACAGCCTCAATTCGTTGGGGGCATGGACAACAAGGTGTTGAAAGCGTCCCACTGGGTTGCTGGCCAATGTTGACTCCAATGCTTCCCACAGTTGTCAAGTTGGGTGGATGTCCTTTGAGTGGTGGACCATTCTCGATACACACAGGAAACTGTTGAGGGTGAGAAACCCAGCAGCGTTGCAGTTCTTTACACACTCAAACCGATGCGCCTGGCACCTACTACCATACCCCATTCAAAGACACTTACATCTTTTGTCTTGCCTATTCACCCTCTGAATGGCATACATACAAAATCCATGTCTCAATTGTCTCAAGGCTAAAAATCCGTCCTTAACCTGTCTCCTCCCCTTCATCTACACTGATTGAAGTGGATTTAACAGGTGACATCAATAAGAGATCATAGCTTTCACCTGGTCAGTCTATCATGGAAAGGGCAGGTGTTCCTAATGTTTTGTACACTCAATGTAAATACTTCTATGTAAAAAGCAGGGGGTGTTCCGGAACAGAACCGTTATTTTCAAATCTTGAGAACCAGTTAATAAAGGAATTGTTTGTTCAAAAATATTAATGTCTAGCAGTGGTGGAAAAAGTACTCAATTGTCATACTTAAGTAAAAGTAAAGATACACTACATGACCAAAAGTTTGTGAACACCTGCTTGTCGAACATCTCATTCCAAAATCATGGGCATTAATATGGAGTTGGTCCCCCCTTTGCTGCTATAACAGCCTCCACTCTTCTGGGAAGGCTTTCCACTAGACGTTGTAACATTGCTGCAGGGACTTGCTTCCATTCAGCCACAAGAGCATTAGTGAGGTCGGGCACTGATGTTGGGCGATTAGGCCTGGCTCGGAGTCTGCGTTCCAATTTATCCCAAAGGTGTTTCGATGGGGTTGAGGTCAGGGATCTGTGCAGGCCAGTCATGTTCTTCCACAACGATCTCGACAAACAATTTTTGTATGGACCTCGCTTTGTGCATGGGGCATTGTCATGCTGAAATAGGAAAGGGCCTTCTCCAAACTGTTGCCACAAAGTTGGAAGCACAGAATCATCTAGAATATCATTGTACGCTGTAGCATTAAGATTTCCCTTCACTGGAGTTAAGGGGCCTAGCTTGAACCATGAAAAACAGCCCCAGACCTTTATTCCTCCTCCACCAAACTTTACAGTTGGCACTATGCATTGGGGCAGGTAGCGTTCTCCTGGCATCCTCCAAACCCAGATTCGTCCGTCGAACTGCCAAATGGTGAAGTGTGATTCATCACTGCAGAGAACGCGTCTCCACTGCTCCAGAGTCCAATGTCGGTGAGCTTTACACACCTTCAGCCGACGCATAGTGATCTTAGGCTTTTGTGCGGCTGCTCGGCCATGGAAACCCATTTTATGAAGCTCCCGATGAACAGTTCTTGTAATGACGTTGCTTCCAGAGGCAGTTTGGAACTCTGTAGTGAGTGCTGCAACCGAGAGACGATTTTTACGTGCTTCAGCACTCAGCGCTCCCGTTCTGTGAGCTTGTGTGGCCTACCATTTCAGGGCTGAGCCGTTGTTGCTCCTAGAAGTTTCCACTTTACAATAGCAGCACTTACAGTTGACCGGGGAAGATCTAGCGGGGCAGAAATTTGACGAACTGACTTGTTGGAAAGGTGGCATCTTATGACTGAGCTCTTCAGTAAGGCCATTCTACTGCCAATGTTTGTCTATGGAGATTGCATGGCTGTGTGCTTGATTTTATACACCTGTCAGTAACGGGTGTGGCTGAAATAGCCGAATCCACAAATTTGAAGGGGTGTCCACATACTTTTGTATATATAGTGTACCTTAATAGAAAATGACTCAAGTAAAAGTGAAAGTCACCCAGTAAAATACTACTTGAGTAAATGTCTAAAAGTATCTGGTTTTAAATGTACTTAAGTACAGCGGTGGAAAAACTCAATTGTCATACTTCAGTAAAAGTCCAAAGTAAAAGTAAAGCTATTAAAGCTTATATTAAGCAAACCAGATTGCATGATTTTCTTGTTCTTTTAATTTACAGACAGCCAGGCACACTCCAACACTCAGACAAACACAGTGTTTGTGTTCAGGGAGTTCACCAGATCAATGAAAGTAGGAAACGTGCTATATTGATAAATGCGTGAATTGGACCATATTGCTGTCCTACCGTAGCATTCGAAATGTAATGAGTACTTTTGGGTGTCAGGGAAAATGTATGGAGTAAAAAGTACATTATTTTCTTTAGGAATGTAGTGAACTAAAAGTACAAGTTGTCAAAAATATAAATAGTAAAGTAAAGTACATACAGTTGAAGTCGGAAGTTTACATGCACTTAGGTTGGAGTCATTAAAACTCGTTTTTCAACCACTCCACAAATTGCTTGTTAACAAACTATAGTTTTGGCAAGTCGGTTAGGACATCTACTTTGTGCATGACAAGTAATTTTTCCAACAATTGTTTACAGACAGATTATTTCACTTATAATTCACTGTATCACAATTCCAGTGGGTCAGAAGTTTACATACACTAAGTTGACTGTACCTTCAAACTGTAGCTTGGAAAATTCCAGAAAATGATGTCATGGCTTTAGAAGCTTCTGATAGGCTAATTGACATAATTTGAGTCAATTGGAGGTATACCTGTGGATGTATTTCAAGGCCTACCTTCAAACTCAGTGCCTCTTTGCTTGACATGGGAAAATGAAAAGAAATCAGCCAAGACCTCAGAAAATAAATTGTAGACCTCCACAAGTCTGGTTCATCCTTGGGAGCATTTTCCAAACGCCTGAAGGTACCACTTTCATCTGTACAAACAATAGTACGCAAGTATAAACACCATGGGACCACGCAGCCATCATACCGCTCAGGAAGGAGACGTGTTCTGTCTCCTAGAGATGAACGTACTTTGGTGGGAAAAGTGCAAATCAATCCCAGAACAACAGCAAAGGACCTTGTGAAGATGCTTGAGGAAACAGGTACAAAAGTATCTATATCCACAGTAAAACTAGTCCTATATCGACATAACCTGAAAGGCCGCTCAGCAAGGAAGAAGCCACTGCTCCAAAACCGCCATAAAAAAGCCAGACTACGGTTTGCAACTGCACATGGGGACAAAGATTGTACCTTTTGGAGAAATGTCCTCTGGTCTGATGAAACAAAAATAGAACTGTTTGTCCATAATGACCATCGTTATGTTTGGAGGAAAAGGGGGATGCTTGCAAGCCGAAGAACACCATCCCAACCGTGAAGCACGGGGGTGGCAGAATCATGCTGTGGGGGTGCTTTGCTGCAGGAGGGACTGGTGCACTTCACAAAATAGATGGCATCATGAGTAAGGAAAATTATGTGGATATATTGAAGAAACATCTCAAGACATCAGTCAGGAAGTTAAAGCTTGGTCGCAAATGGTTCTTCCAAATGGACAATGACCCCAAGCATACTTCCAAAGTTGTGGCAAAATGGCTTAAGGACAACAAAGTCAAGGTATTGGAGTGGCCATCACAAAGCCCTGACCTCAATCCTATAGAAAATGTGTGGGCTGAACTAAAAAAGTGTGTGCAAGCAAGGAGGCCTACAAACCTGACTCAGTTACACCAGCTCTGTCAGGAGGAATGGGCCAAAATGCACCCAACTTATTGTGGGAAGCTTGTGGAAGGCTACCTGACACGTTTGACCCAAGTTAAACAATTTAAAGGCAATGCTACCAAATACTAATTGAGTGTATGTAAACTTATGACCCACTGGGAATGTGATGAAAGAAATAAAAGCTTAAATAAATAATTCTCTGTACTATATTTCTGACATTTCACATTCTTAAAATAAAAGTGGTGATCCTAACTGACCTAAAAGAGGGACTTTTTACTAGGATTAAATGTCAGGAATTGTGAAAAACTGAGTTTAAATGTATTTGGCTAAGGTGTATGTAAACTTCCGACTTCAACTACAGTGGGGAAAAAAAGTATTTAGTCAGCCACCAATTGTGCAAGTTCTCCCACTTAAAAAGATGAGAGAGGCCTGTAATTTTCATCATAGGTACACGTCAACTATGACAGACAAAATGAGGAAAAAAATTCCAGAAAATCACATTGTAGGATTTTTAATGAATTTATTTGCAAATTATGGTGGAAAATAAGCATTTGGTCAATAACAAAAGTTTCTCAATACTTTGTTATATACCCTTTGTTGACAATGACACAGGTCAAACGTTTTCTGTAAGTCTTCACAAGGTTTTCACACACTGTTGCTGGTATTTTGGCCCATTCCTCCATGCAGATCTCCTCTAGAGCTGTGATGTTTTGGGGCTGTCGCTGTGTAACACGGACTTTCAACTCCCTCCAAAGATTTTCTATGGGGTTGAGATCTGGAGACTCCAGGACCTTGAAATGCTTCTTACGAAGCCACTCCTTCGTTGCCCGGGCGGTGTGTTTGGGATCATTGTCATGCTGAAAGACCCAGCCACGTTTCATCTTCAATGCCCTTGCTGATGGAAGGAGGTTTTCACTCAAAATCTCACGATACATGGCCCCATTCATTCTTTCCTTTACACGGATCAGTCGTCCTGGTCCCTTTGCAGAAAAACAGCCCCAAAGTATGATGTTTTCACTCCCATGCTTCACAGTAGGTATGGTGTTCTTTGGATGCAACTCAGCATTCTTTGTCCTCCAAACACGACGAGTTGAGTTTTTACCAAAAAGTTATATTTTGGTTTCATCTGACCATATGACATTCTCCCAATCCTCTTCTGGATGCACTCTAGCAAACTTCAGACGGGCCTGGACATGTACTGGCTTAAGCAGGGGGACACGTCTAGCACTGCAGGATTTGAGTCCCTGGCGGCGTAGTGTGTTACTGATGGTAGGCTTTGTTACTTTGGTCCCAGCTCTCTGCAGGTCATTCACTAGGTCCCCCCGTGTGGTTCTGGGATTTTTGCTCACCGTTCTTGTGATCATTTTGACCCCACGGGGTGAGATCTTGCGTGGAGCCCCAGATCGAGGGAGATTATCAGTGGACTTGTATGTCTTCCATTTCCTAATAATTGCTCCCACAGTTGATTTCTTCAAACCAAGCTGCTTACCTATTGCAGATTCAGTCTTCCCAGCCTGGTGCAGGTCTACACTTTTGTTTCTGGTGTCCTTTGACAGCTCTTTGGTCTTGGCCATAGTGGAGTTTGGAGTGTGACTGTTTGAGGTTGTGGACAGGTGTCTTTTATACTGATAACAAGTTCAAACAGGTGCCATTAATACAGGTAACGAGTGGAGGACAGAGGAGCCTCTTAAAGAAGAAGTTACAGGTCTGTGAGAGCCAGAAATCTTGCTTGTTTGTAGGTGACCAAATACTTATTTTCCACCATAATTTGCAAATAAATTCATTAAAAATCCTACAATGTGATTTTCTGGATTTTCTTTTCTCAATTTGTCTGTCATAGTTGACGTGTACCTATGATGAAAATTACAGGCCTCTCTCATCTTTTTAAGTGGGAGAACTTGCACAATTGGTGGCTGACTAAATACTTTTTTTCCCCACTGTATATACCCCAAAAAACTACTTAAGTAGTACTTTAAAGTATTTTAACTTAGTTACATTACACCACTTATGTCTAGTATATAATTCTGTAATTCGGTGAAGTTATAATAGCCTAAACCCATTCCAGTTCACGTCATGTCATGATGTTCAGCGCTTCAAGCCATGTGCCATCCATGTGCACCCCTCTCTCTTGCTCTCTCCCCACTGGTGACATTTCTGACCAATCAAATATGTAAACAACTAGTGTTCCAAAGCAAGCTTCTCGATCTGTGCTAATGGGTCGTGTAAATTAATGAGCTATTTTGTAAAAACTGTTGATTTCATAAAAATAAATTAAGGAACTACACTGAGTGTACAAAACATTAAGAACTGCTCTTTTTATGACATAGACTGACTAGGTGAATCCAGGTGAAAGATCCTTTATTGATGTCACTTGAAGAAGGATTTTTAAGCCTCTCTCCTGTAACTATTCCCCAGGTTGTTGCTGTAAATGAGAATGTGTTCTCAGTCAACTTACCTGGTAATATAAGGGGGAAAATAAAATAAAATTGAGACATGGAATGTCTATGTGTGCCATTCAGAGGGTGAATGGGCTGAACAAAAGATGTAAGTGCCTTTGAATGGGGTATGGTAGTAGGTGCCAGGCGCACTGGTTTGTGTCAAGAACTGCAACGCTGCTGGGTTATTCGCGCTCAACAGTTTCCCGTGTGTATCAAGAATGGTCCACCACTCAAAGGACATCCAGCCAACTTGGAGTCAACGTTGGCCAGCATCCCTGTGGAACGCTTTCTACACCTTGTAGAGTCCATGCCCCGACGAATTGAGGCTGTTCTGTGTGTGTGTGTGTGTGTGTGTGTGGGGGGGGGGGGGGGGGGGGGGGGGGGGGGTTATTGGTTAGTTGCAGATGAAATCCATATTGTGTAGAGCCTACCTATTATACAGAATCACCTGGTGTTAGCTTACCGTGGGGCTATAGAGTTAGCATTCATCAGCATTGTTCACTTACAGTATGTTATGCACTGTGTATTGACCTTCTGTGGGCAGCACTACCCTCTGTACCGACCCAATGATGCAGAGTGCACTGGGCAGGACGCCGCCTCTCCTGAAGAGCGACACCAGGTGTTCCATGAGCGCTATGACGTTCTCTCCCAGGAGGCTTCTCAAAGGGTGAGCTTACACACACTCAGCACTCTAACTAAAACCTGGGGTGCATCGCCATTGTTTAACGTGGCCTCCTCTCCTTGCTTGCACCTGTTTTATTTTCTTCAGATCGTGCAGATGAAGGAAAGGAGACAAGTAGAGGAAGCCACTTTAGACTATTGAGATACACCCCTAGGGCTCATTCTGAAGAGTGCATCTTTCCGACTGAAGACCATAACATATGTTGGGTCTTCTTAAGCCTTGTTCACACTGCAGGCTTTAATGCTCAAATCAGTTTTGTTTTGGACAACTAACTGTCCAAACAGCAAGTGACCAAATCGGATTTGTGTGTGTTCAGACAGCAGTCATTTGCTGACAAGGCAACGCTAGTTGTCATAGGGGTGTGTGTGCAGTGGTCTAGACTGATTGGTGCTTGTGGTTCCTATCACTCAGAAGTTATGTAGCAAGCTAAGGTGACAACAATGCCTGCCATGGTCGTTGCCCAGTTGCTTTGAATATTCAAAATCATAGTGTAAGAACACTTTTAAAGCCTCAAAGGATAAGATGATCCAACTTTCAAAACAAGTCCTTTTTGGCTAGCCACAGCAGTCCGCTAGCTAGCTGTAAACAATTAACAAGCTAGTTGGCTACTACATGTCAACATAGTAGCTAGCAAGCAACAAGATATGCCAAATAACAGTCTAGAAACCACTTGACAGCAAATAAATCAGATTTGACCATTCAGACACAAGTCGCATGGCCAGGAATCAAATTTGTATATGACTTCAAACCACCTAGGAAGGTGGTTTGAAATGTGGCTAGAAATATCTGATTCCATGTGCTTTTTGGCTGTTCAGACTGCAGGAAAAAGAAGAGATGATAAATCTTATTTACATTTTAGTCATTTAGCAGACACTCTTATACAGAGCGACTTGAGTGCATACATTTTTCATACTTTCATACTTATATGTAAATAAATACGATTTGAGTCACTTCACACGGCCAATGTGAACACGGCTTTAGAGGCATGTGATTACAGAAATATCATGATGGATTCTTTTGGTCCCACTCTGCAGTTACTCTGGTGGTTCCAGCCCCGCCTTATTCTGAGCGGCCACACCCACAGTGCCTGTAAGGTGATCCATGACAACAAGCACCCAGAGATCAGCGTTCCTTCCTTCAGCTGGAGAAACCGCAACAACCCCAGCTTCATCCTGGTAACTAATTAACTACACTGAACAAAAATATGAACACAAAATGTACAGTCTTTGTTTTATTACATGAGCTGAAATAAAACATCTCAAATTTTCCATTCACACAAAAAGCTTATTTCTCTCAAATTTGGTGCACAAATTTGTTTACATCCCTGTTAGTGAGCATTTCTCTTTTGCCAAGATAATCCATCCACCTGACAGGTGTGGCATATCAAGAAGCTGATTAAACAGCATGATCATTACACAGGTGCACCTTGTGCTGGGAATAATAAAAGGCCACTGTAAAATGTCAGATGTCTCAAGTTTTGAGGGAGCGTGCAATTGGCATGCTGACTGCAGGAATGTCTACCAGAGCTGTTGCCAGAGAACTGAATGTTCATTTCTCTACCATAAGCCGCCTCCAATGTCGTTTTAGAGAATTTGGCGGTACGTCCAACTGGCCTTATAACGTTGTGAACAGAGTGCCCCATGGTGGCGGTGGGGGTATAGGCAGGCATAAGCTAAGGACAATGAACACAATTGCATTTTATCTATGGCAATTTGAATGCACAGAGATACCGTGACGAGATCCTGAGGCCCGTTGTCGTGCCATTCATCAGCTGCCATCACCTCATGTTTCAGCATGAAAATGCACGGCCCCATGTCGCAAGGATCTGTACACAATTCCTGGAAGGTGAAAATGTCCCAGTTCTTCCATAATAATAATAATAATAATAATAATAATAATAATATGCCATTTAGCAGACGCTTTTATCCAAAGCGACTTAGTCATGTGTGCATAAATTTTTACGTATGGGTGGTCCCGGGGATCGAACCCACTACCCTGGCGTTAGAAGCGCAATGCTCTACCAATTAAGCTACAGAGGACCACGGCCATGCATGGCCTGCATATTTACCAGACATGTCACCCATTGAGCATGTTTGGGATGCTCTAGATCAACAGCGTGTTCCAGTTCCCACCAATATCCAGCAACTTCACACAGCCATTGAAGAGGAGTGGGATAAAATTCCACAGGCCACAATCAACAGCCTGATCAACTCTATGCGAAGGAGATGTGTCACGCTGCATGAGGCAAATAGTTGTCACACAAGATACTAACTGGTTTTCTGATCCACACCCCTACCTTTTTGTTTAAGGTATCCGTGACCAACAGATGCATATCTGTATTTCCCAGTCACATTTCCTTATATGAACTGTAACTGAGTAAAATCTTTGAAATTGTTGCATGTTGCGTTTATATTTTTGTTCAGTATAAATATCAGGATTGGGGTCAATTCCATTTTAAATTCAACTTTACCTCTCTCTCCCACTTTCTCCAGGGCACCTTCTCTCCCACAGACTTCCAGTTGGCCAAGTGCTTCCTGCCAGAGGAGAGCAGCGTGGTGGTCATCTACTGCTCCACAGCCATGGTCGTCTCCCTCCTGCTCACTGCCCACCTCCACTTCTCCAAGACCTCCATGCTCTTGGCCACCAGCCTCATGGGCAAGCACAAGGGCTTCTGACTGTTATAGTGAAAGTGTTTCCCCTAGATCTAATGTTTGCTTTGCGGGCCTATTAAAAAAAGGCCCAAGAAGCAGCATTCAGGGTAGCAAATGCCCATAAAGTGTGACTGAAACCAATGGAGAGCGAAATGTTCTAGGTGAAGGGCAAGAGAGAGGCCCTATGGTTACCTGTCAAAGTAACTGTATGGGGACGTCTCATCTGTGTGACCTGTCACATTTGACCCCCTCAGGCCCCATGTTCATCCCTGAGACCAAAAGACTCCTGTGTAGTGCAGACACTCCTGACATCCAACCCAACAGCACCTTTTACAGGGCCTGGGTCACGCTGTACAGCTTTTACTCATCAATTAGCTTTCTTCCCCTTTTAAATTATTGGCAACTTGAATGTTTTTTTTGTTTTTTTACTTATCTTTGATCTAATGGTTAATAAGCTATGACAAGGCCATCTTTGACCTTTTTAAATGTGACCTGGACGAAAACAGTCGAGGGAAGACGGTAGAACTGGGTTTCTTGTAACTGTAATTTATGCATATACAAAGTGTACATAATCTGTTATATTTTCCCGCACATTCAGTTTAGACAAACCAACAAAAAAAAAAAAAGGTCTTCTGATGTGCCTCTTTATTAAAATAAAAATATTTTTCCGTATTCCTTAAAAGGCCTGACACAAACGTTGTATCACTCCTGCCTCCTCGCTCTCAAAATAGACTGCTGTTCAGCGTAAAGAACGGCCTATCTAACTGGGCTCACACCTGCCCCATTGTGAAGGGCTCTCCATGACCAAGGTGTCACTACTTTCTCATATCGTCTCATTCTATAGAAGTTGATGCCTATGCTATGCATGCATACATACGTTCTAGACATGAATATGTATACACATAGGCACACACATTACTATATATAATTGTACATATAGATTTATAGAATATGTATATCTTTATAAATGTATATGTACATATATATTAATATAAAATGTATATGTACAATGCATGAGTGCATGTGTGTATATATGTTTTACAGTACATGCATGCTTTGAAGCACACACACACACACACACACACACACATTTACTGGCACGTATGTATACATCTCATACACACTTTATATCTAAAAAGTTGCTTCCTACTGTAGTAAAACAACGCCAGGTTGCGATTTGTACACGTCAATGGATCTTGTAATGTATTAAAGCTGAGAATCAGAAATAAAATAGAAATGTTGAAAGGAATGGAGGATGAAGGCATGTCTCTGGCTGCGACCTGGGGTCACTGCGGTAGGTAAGTGGTTCATTTGCATAATGTATACAGGATTTTTGTGTGTTTTTTTAACCCCTCGCAAATTTTTCCTCCTTTTTCTACTAAAGAACATTTTCCTTTTTTATAAACCAGAAAAATTTACCTCTACAGAGAGAGAAACGCCCTACCTGCAGTCTCTACTGTCAGATAGAGTTTGACATCAAGCTGTACAGCGCAGTCAAAAACATACATCAGAGCTCAATTTACAGGTACAGCCATTATCAAGGCACAAAGATCTTCTACAAGTAGTTTTTTTTCTCAATAAAGTTGTACAAAATAACATTACATTTTGCAGTCTGTACAAGATAATCAACCTTGCACAGTGTACAAGATAATAAACAAACAAACAAAAAAAAAAAAATTGAACTATTGCCCAAGAGGATCTAAGTAAAAAAGGACCGTCTGTGGGCAAATCAAAGTGAGTGTGGTATTTCTCTTTCCATCTAGACACGTGGCAGAAAGCTGCTGCTGCCCCTACGGCCAGAGCTGCATAGGACTCATACTCCCAGAATCCTCCTGGTCTCCCACAAGCCCCACCCCCTCTATGCTAAATCTACAGCCTGAAAGTCTCGCTCTCCATCATCCTGCAATAAAACGATACAAAATAAACAAAAAGTGACAGAGTAATAAATATCACGGTGCTACATCATGTGTATACTTCCTTGACAGCATTAAGTTACCTGATACATCTGCTGCCCGCCCCACCCACCCCTTCATAGAGATAGAGAAGCAATCATCCACCCAAAGGAGTGTTGGGAGGTTGTTGCCAACTCTGGAACCAACACACACAGGAGTCCATCAGATACCTCAACTCTCTCACACATCCACACCCTCTAACAACTTCAGCTGGTCCAGATCAAACAACAGAAATGACAGAAGAAGAACAAGACTAGTTCAAAACAAAAACTACAAAAAGGCTTTAGTGGAATGAGCAGAATAAAGGTATTGGAAATAAAAGATGAGGCACATCACACAACGTCCCATCCCTGCTTATACCTACAAAATAAAAGTCAAGATGGGCCATAAATAAAATAACAAAGGAAGGAGAAAATAAAATGACAGCATTGTGATGCTTCAGTAGTTCTCCTGGTCCCCGTGGTAACAGGGCCTTGTGTTTTGGGAGTGGAATCAAACAGCGCCAGGATTAGCAGAGTGCTGACTGGGTGGTGGGCTGCGACCAATCACAAGAGTTCGTATTGGCGCAGGTGCATCCTCTGGATGATGTCTCGGCAGTCGTTGAAGACGCGGCGGATGTTCTCCGTGTCCACGGCGCAGGTGAAGTGGGGGTAGCAGTAGTGTTTGCCCTCGCCGCTCGCCGTGCTGATCCTCTGTGGGGTGGTGGAGAGACACATCCATATTTCACTTTACTTCCTGAATTGACTGAATTGAAATGGAAATGAACCCAACCCTCAAATGCTTGCCTCTAAGTTAACACTAGGAAACAAGGGTCTACAACACTAGGAAACAAGGGTCTGCAACACTAGGAAACAAGGGTCTACAACACTAGCAAACAAGGGTCTACAACACTGGCAAACAAGGGTCTACAACACTGGCAAACAAGGGTCTACAACACTGGCAAACAACGGTCTACAACACTGGCAAACAAGGGTCTACAACACTAGCAAACAAGGGTCTACAACACTGGCAAACAAGGGTCTACAACACTAGGAAACAAGGGTCTACAACACTAGGAAACAAGGGTCTACAACACTAGCAAACAAGGGTCTACAACACTAGGAAACAAGGGTCTGCAACACTAGGAAACAAGGGTCTACAACACTAGGAAACAAGGGTCTGCAACACTAGGAAACAAGGGTCTACAACACTAGGAAACAAGGGTCTATACTAGGAAACAAGGGTCTACAACACTAGACCCATGGGGCGGCGCACAATTGGCCCAGCATCGTCCAGGGTAGGGGAGGGAATGGCCGGCAGGGATGTAGCTCAGTTGATAGAGCATGGCGTTTGCAACGCCAGGGTTGTGGGTTCGATTCCCACAGGGGGTATGAAAAAAATAATGTATGCACTAACTGTAAGTCGCTCTGGACAAGAGCTTCTGCTAAATGACTAAAATGTAAAATGTAGGAAACAAGGGTCTACAACACTAGGAAACAAGAGATCTACAACATTAGGAAACAAGGGTCTCTACTAGGAAACAAGGGTCTACAACACTAGGAAACAAGGGATCTACAACATTAGGAAACAAGGGTCTATACTAGGAAACAAGGGTCTACAACACTAGGAAACAAGGGATCTACAACATTAGGAAACAAGGGTCTATACTAGGAAACAAGGGTCTACAACACTAGGAAACAAGGGTCTATACTAGGAAACAAGGGTCTACAACACTAGGAAACAAGGGATCTACAGTCAGTACATAGAATGAAAACGGTACGCACAAGGAACTCATCTCGGATGAAAAACTTGGCCCGGGTCACTTTAGGATCCTCTCCAGGGTCTGGAACGGCTGATCAGAAAGAGACAAAACGGAACAAGTCCAGGGTTTTTAAGACTACAGTATTTCATTTAATCAGAACAAGGATATCATTAGGACTGGATGTAATCAGTGCAGTGCCTGATGGCAGTACCTGCAATCAAATGTTTATGCAGCATCTCTAACTAGCGTGCTCCAAACCATTCTCATTTGACGATGTGATGAAAGGTAAGTTTATGCTGTTGTTTACATACTGCAGTAGAGTCCCTGGAAGATGGAGAAGTAATAGTGTCCTATGAGGTCTAAATAAGGTTGATTGCAGGGCAAGCACAAATGATTCCATTTGATTCGCATTTTCAAAAGTGTGAGTTGCCAAAATGGGTTAACCTTTGTATACATCTTGAGGATCGGTTTGGAGATCCTTCACTGGGAAGAAAAAACAACGACGCTTCGTTGTGTGTGAATCTTAGGAGTGTGTGAAACTTAGGTTAGTAAATCTGAATAATTATTATGATCATTTTATAATAACCTTTAATTAATAAAGGATTATAAAAGCTTATAAATATTGAATATGAGTGAAATCAATAATGATTTAAACAATGGGGTGTGTTCCATCCATCTCAGTCCCCACCTTCAGCTGGTACTGCATAGCGAACATACTCGGGGAAGTAGTCTTCAAGTTTGGATTTCCCTGCTAAGATCTTGTCAGCCAGCATGTCCTGCTTGTTCAAGAACAGGATGACTGAAATGGTCCGTAGAAACCTGAAAAGTAAGATTGAAAAGAATGGCGTGACTAGACAGGCATTTAAACAATCACACTGCGTCAGAGTTAGTGGAAATGTGAATGGGCTGGTTTAAAAATAAAACCTCTCCGTCCAACTCTCATGTTTCTGCTTCTGTTTGACTGATTAACACTGATATCACCACCTTGACCGATTAACACTGATATCACCACCTTGACCGATTAAACCTAAATGGGAAGCACATTTATATAGGGTTGCAATGTGCTGCAGAAAACACAAACAAAGCTGGTTTGAAATGCATTTTCAGTTTACAAATGTATTGCAAGTATATTGAAAATATATTGAAATCACAACACAATGGAATGCCAATGGAATATATTACTAAATCTGGTGAGAAATGTTCAGTAGCGCAAAACTGAGTTGGGAGAGGGCCGAGAGAGACAGTCGAGGTGACTGTGGACCAACCTGTTATTCCAGATGCTCTTGAAGAGATCCAGTGATTCTCTGAGTCTGTTGGTGCTGTTGTCTTCCCTTATGACCATGTTATAACTGCTGGTTGCCGCCACAAAGATGATGGCCGTCACGTCTGAGAGAAATAGGAGCACAGTGAAATGGGTTGTTTCAGTACTAATGGAGTACTCTGTGTATTATGAGGACCAGACGCGGTGTCTCGCAAACCACGTCATATAACATGTAATGCTAATGTATCCTTCCGTATAAAATGTGGAAGTGGATCCAGATATGGTATACAATGCGGAGCTACCGCAACACAGTCGTCTGTCCCACCTCAAGACTGTGCTAGCCTGTTAAGCTAAAGCCTAGGCATCATCACGGGAGCTAACGCGAGTCTTCCGGTTTCAGAAAAGGTTACTTGTTAAGCGAGCGTCATTCACAGAACCACCATAATTACACTCGCAGAACAACACTGTGGGCAGCAAAACAACGCTGTTGGCAGCAGAACAACCCTGTGGGTAGCAGAACAACCCTGTGGGCAGCAGAACAACACTGTGGGCAGCGGAACCATACACAACACTGTGGGCAGTGGAACAACCCTGTGGGCAGCGGAACAGCATTGTGGGCAGCATAACAACCCTGTGGGCATCAGAACAACACTGTGGGCAGCAGAACAACACTGTGGGCAGCAGAACAACACTGTGGGCAGCAGAACAGCATTGTGGGCAGCAGAACAACACTGTGGGCAGCAGAACAACATTGTGGGCAGCAGAACAGTATTGCGGGCAGCAGAACAGCATTGTGGGTAGCAGAACTGTACACAGAATCCGAGTGGCGCAGTGGTCTGTGCCACTAGAGATCCTGGTTCGAATCCAGGCTCTGTCGTAGCTGGCCGCGACTGGGAGACCCATGGGGCGGCACACAATTGGCCCAGCGTCGTCCAGAGTAGGGGAGGGAATACCTGGCAGGGATGTAGCTCAGTTGGTAGAGCATGGCGTTTGCAACGCCAGGGTTGTGGGTTCGATTCCCACGGGGGGCCAGTATGAAATATAAAAAAATAATGTATGCACTCACTAACTGTAAGTCACTCTGGATAAGAGCGCCTGCTAAATGACAATAAAAAAATAAAATAATGTAAACTCCTAACTCACCGTTAAAGCACTGGATCCATTTTCTCCTCTCGTCTCTCTGGCCACCTACATCAAACATACTGGGAGAGAGGGACAAACCTATTAGCTGACTTTTGTATGGTCCAATTTGTGGAGAAGGCCATTTAACTCAACCATGTCTTGATCTCAAACCTTGAGACACAGTCGATTGGACTAGTTTTCTACATGGAGTGATGGTGCTGGAAACAGAGCCCTCCTGTGGATAAACTTAACCACAACACTAAACCACTTGGCAGTATGTTGAGTTGCCGTGTCATGGTGTTTCAGGGCAGATGCTTCTTTCCATTTAGTGTGCATATGTTAGACAACCAAAATTATCATTTCCAAAAAGGAAAACACAAAAGCAACAACTCTTCCTAAGAAATGTTGGTGGTTGACTGTAAATAGTATGATACTAATCCCATTAGATTTTCACTTAGCTAGATTTGTATTTTAACAAATTATGTCCATATAACAAACAAAAACCTAACACAAACAGAAGCAAGGCTTTGTGCTTTGCATGACACCCAGTTAGAATTAAACAAAAAAAAAAGACCCTATACGACCACAAGGTGGAGACATTTCCATGATAATATGAAACCACCATGGCCATGCACATAAAGTACATGTTTCATCCAGCTAACACAACAGACTACGCTGTGTACCATTACATCAGAATGAAGAAAAGGGGTCACGTACTGAAAGTTCACTTTGTCGACTTGAAATCTTGTTTCAAAAATCCCTGAAGTCAAAACTCTGCAGCGAAGCAAGTCCTGGGGATCAAAACAAGAGGGGTACAGAGATGAAGAGATCCGCAAAATAATAAGCAAAAGAGAGAGGGGGAGAGAGAGGAAGAGAGAATTTGAAAACAAATCAAACATTGATAAACTCCTATAACTGTTAGGTGAAATACCGCAGTGTGCAATCATGTTGCCACAAGAAAAGGGTAACCAGTAGAGCACAAACAACATTATAAATACAACCCATATTTATGTTTATGTATTTCCCTTTCATACGTCAACCACTATCACATTGTTACAACACTGTACAATAATATAACATTTGAAATTAAATGTACTATTGTTTCCCTTGTTTATCTCCCTTTTGTTTATCATCTATTCCATTTGCTTTGGCAATGTTAACATATGTTTCCCATGTCAATAAAGCCCTTTGAATTTAATTTAATAGAGCGAGAGAGAGAGAGTGAGAGAGAGAGAGAGAGAGAGAGAGAGAGAGAGACAGAGAGAGAGAGAGAGACAGAGAGAGACAGAGACAGAGACAGAGACAGAGAGACAGAGAGACAGAGACAGAGACAGAGAGACAGAGAGACAGAGAGACAGAGAGACAGAGAGACAGAGAGACAGAGAGACAGAGAGACAGAGACAGAGAGAGAGAGATTTTTCATACACAGTGCTTCAGATAATACAGTAAAACAACAGCTATGGTTGTAACATTTGACATGTCATTATTCACTACATTAGAGCTATGCTCTAGAACGTCGAGAAGCCTTCTAACCTGATCTGTTGGTGTGTAGTCATTCGACCTCACCGACTCAATTTTGTTCAAGAAGCTGCAAAACAGAAAACAGAAGACATCATTATACGACACATTTTAACTAAGGAACAGTACATATCACTGACATTACAGTAGAAATAGATGAAGATCTGACTCTACACACTCTAACTAAGGAAAAGCACTAAGAATAAATAAAGTAATCATTTCTTGTGTCTGTTGCCATGGTGTCTTTAAACCACTCCCATACCACATCCATGTAAGTGTGCACGCGCACGCACACACACACACACACACACACACACCACACACACACACACCCCAGTGTGTTCCTGGATAGATGCAGCATATGGCTGGATAGGCAGCTAGTTTTGGAGCTGGGGCTCTGAGACAGTCAGTGGTTAGAGACAGGACAAGAGAGAGGGACAGTGAGAACTCTAGAGAAATACACACTACAACACAATGTCTTTCTATCAAACAGACAGTGGGTCAGATTTCTAGCCAAGCACGAAACAATCATATCCAGAATAACTCATCTCATTACATAGAACAGATATATGTAACTGCCAAAATAAAGGAAACACTTGAGTAAATGAGGGATACAACGTATATTGAAAGCAGGTGCTTCCACACAGGTGTGATTCCTGAGTTAATTAAGCAATTAACATCCCATCATGCTTAGGGTCATGTATAAAAATGCCCAGTTGCCCATTATTTTGACTACCATGGCTGGAAGAGATCTCAGTGACTTTGAAAGAGGGGTCTCAAAGGATCATGGGGGTTTAAAGGGGGTGTGTCTCAGTCACCAGATCTCAACCCAATTGAACACTTCTGGGAGATTCTGGAGCGGCGCCTGAGACAGCGTTTTCCACCACCATCAGCAAAACACAAAATTATGGAATTTCTTGAGTTCCAGACACTTGTAGAATCTATGCCAAGGTGCATTGAAGCTGTTCTGGCTCGTGGTGGCCCAACGCCCTATTAAGACACTTTATGTTAGTGTTTCCTTTATTTTGGCAGTTTCCTGTATATGTAAGACATAGAATGGGGTCCGCTCTATTCACTGCATTTCTATCTTCTGCATTCTGAACATGTCACTTCACTACATAGCTATATCCCTATAAGCTATATCGCTATGCGCTATATCGCTATGCTGACTGACTAACACTATTGCAGAGCTCATCCCCGGGCTGTACAATCCCTCCCCAGCAGAGGGCGTCCCCCGACTACTTATGTCCCACTCTTCCTGTCCCATTACGTAAGACAGCAATTAGTTCCTGCCATAGAGAGCTAGATGAGACCCTCTTGCTCTATTGTGCACAAGCTGTATGTTCCCTGGGTGTGTGTGTGTGTTTGTGAGTGTGCCTGCGGTCCCAAACTGCATGCACACACACACACACACACACACACACACACAGACACATACACACACAGCAGTTTGTAACCGCTGAACAGCACAGTGATATCAAAAGCACTGTCACTGGTCTAAACCAGCAGATACCACCCTAAACATCCCAATTCTATTTTATTATGTTGTGTTCTATTCTGTTGTGTTCTATTCTACATTGAGGAAGCAACCACCACAAAAGGCAGTTCTGTACAGGTTTATTTGAGGTTGTGTTTTAACCTAAGAATTCACTTATAGGAACTGATGGATATATAGGCCTGTGTGTGATGACAATGATCACACTTTGGGCATTAGAGAAGTCCAACTGACAAACAGACACATTATAATGTATATTTAACCAGGTCCATTATGACGTCTATGTAACCAGATCCATTATGACGTCTATGTAACCAGGTCCATTATAAAGTCTATGTAACCAGACCCATTATAAAGTCTATGTAACCAGATCCATTATGAAGTCTATGTAACCAGGCCCATTATAAAGTCTATGTAACCAGATCCATTATAAAGTCTATGTAACCAGATCCATTATAAAGTCTATGTAACCAGGTCCATTATAAAGTCTATGTAACCAGACCCATTATGAAGTCTATGTAACCAGGTCCATTATAAAGTCTATGTAACCAGGTCCATTATAAAGTATATTTAACCAGGCGCTGTACTATATATAATCTGGTAGTTGGATACACTATATCCTCTGGTAACGCTTCATTATATGGTAAATAAATAATCAGGTAGTTATATCAGAATGTATATGAAGGTAATAACACAGTAATAACCTTATATTCTGTTGGTTTATATGGGACTTATTAAAACTAGCACCAGTCGTCACCATTTGGTACCAGGCAGTTACCAATGGAATTATTCAGTAAGAACCATAGTTAATAAAATGTTACCAACCCTCTGATACAAGTTCCCAATCTTTTACCCAGAAACCCAGGATAAACCAAAAAAAGTATCCTCCTCTGGAGGTTGGGCCTGTAAACACTACAGCCACACAGCCAAGTTTCATAATTCACTCTCCATGACTGTGAGTGACCCCATCCCCAGCTACCAACACTCAGCTCTCCATGACTGTGAGTGACCGCCATCCCCTGCTACCAACACTCAGCTCTCCATGACTGTGAGTGACCCCCATCCCCTGCTACCAACACTCAGCTCTCCATGACTGTGAGTGACCCCCCATCCCCTGCTACCAACACTCAGCTCTCCATGACTGTGAGTGACCTCCATCCCCTGCTACCAACACTCAGCTCTCCATGACTGTGAGTGACCTCCATCCCCTGCAACCAACACTCAGCTCTCCATGACTGTGAGTGACCCCCATCCCCTGCTACCAACACTCAGCTCTCCATGACTGTGAGTGACCTCCATCCCCTGCTACCAACACTCAGCTCTCCATGACTGTGAGTGACCTCCATCCCCTGCTACCAACACTCAGCTCTCCATGACTGTGAGTGACCTCCATCCCCTGCTAACACCCCAAGAACCTTTTAAACCCCGCTCTCCATGACTGTGAGTGACCTCCATCCCTGCTACCAACCCCTCAGCTCTCCATGACTGTGAGTGCCCCCCATCCCCTGCTACCAACACTCAGCTCTCCATGACTGTGAGTGACCCCATCCCCTGCTACCAACACTCAGCTCTCCGTGACTGTGAGTGACCCCATCCCCTGCTACCAACACTCAGCTCTCCATGACTGTGAGTGACCTCCATCCCCTGCTACCAACACTCAGCTCTCCATGACTGTGAGTGACCCCATCCCCTGCTACCAACACTCAGCTCTCCATGACTGTGAGTGACTCCATCCCCTGCTACCCACACTCAGCTCTCCGTGACTGTGAGTGACCCCATCCCCTGCTACCAACACTCAGCTCTCCATGACTGTGAGTGACCTCCATCCCCTGCTACCCAACACTCAGCTCTCCATGACTGTGAGTGACCCCCATCCCCTGCTACCAACACTCAGCTCTTCCTGAATGGAGTGACCCATCTGCTTACCACAAACACGGGCCAGCTCTCCTGACTTAGTAACCTCATGCCTTGTCCACACTACACTCTCTGCTGTGAGTGCCCCATTGTAAACATCGCCCGTGGAATGGAGTGGGCCCAATCCCCGCTACCAACACTTCTCATGATGGCTGTTGGTGCCTCCCGTTGGTAAACTCTCACTCCCAAAACCCCATCCCTCACCCACACACACACCCCACTGTGAGAGAATTGCTAAACCAGCAGACGAGGACCCAGACATTTCCAAATCAGGAGGAGGAAATCCTGGGTGATCACCCGGCCTATACTGTAGTCCCTCCCCTTTTAAACACTAGCTTCCAAGAAGTAAGTGACCCCACCCCGCACCAC